AAAAAAAAGAAATAATATTTACTAACTAAAAACATAAAATAAATAAAAACATAAAATAAAATAAATAAAAATAAAAAATAAATGGGGTAGGGGACCCGCCCCGCCCTGCCCCGTCCCGCTTTAATCAAGTATGGAGATGAGATAAGATAATAAAAATACCCGACAGGACGATGGTGGGAATGACCGACCCGCCCCCGTTGCCATCCCTATCTTGGAGCTTGTATTGGATTTAAATATCCTACGTGCTTCCTTTGTCCCTCTTTGGGATCTACTTTTTTAAAAAATAGATTTTTTCAAAACTTTTTTTAACCACACATTCCCCTATAAAATACTTTCACACGTAAACTCAAAAAAAATTCTTCTTTTTTAACCATACATTCTCCACAAAATTACTATTTCAAAACACATTTTCTTTCAGAACTTCATTACGTATGTTGCTCCCACACAACCCCAAATACCATGATAAAAAATAAATAAAAATTGATTGCAATTTCGAAAAATCGAAGCTACGGCTCCATCTTTGTTACTGTATCTACATTATTCACATTTTTTTATTTTTTTTCTAAGCGATTCAACAGTGGGAGACAATATATTTACCTCAATAAAAGGTTTGAGCGATGCAGCCAAGTCACACTATATAGGTGCATGCAGACCGTCGCAAAAAGCTATGGACGGTTTCTTGCATTTTATTTTATTTGTATATTATGTTAGAGGACAAGGGGCTTGGTTTTATTCAAGAGGTATTTGAATCTCAAATTTCTAGATTTTTTAATAAAAAACTCATCCTGGGGCGGATTCAGACTTTTTTGTATCGTGAGGTCAAAAAATAAAATGCAATTTTTTTAAAAACATAATATTAATTGAAATCGGTCAATACCCTACTACAATTGTAGTCTACGTATCTTGATACGTTGAAAACGTCTATAATTATATCATTAACAATGTTGTCAAATGAATTTTGTTACTTGTATAGTTTTGTTTACCACCTCATTGACAAATGCCGAGCCGACAACGAGTAAATCAAATTGAATGTAAGAAGTATATGGATTGAAATAAAATTCAAATTTAATCTAGGAAATAAATGAAATTCAAATTACATTTAATCTATAATGATCCTAATTTTGTTTACATCATACTCAATGTAAAATTTGCTAATAAAATGATGTAAATTATATTGAAAAAAATTTCGTGTAAAAATAATGAACATAATGAAATAATTAAAAACATTTAAAGAAAAGACAAGTTAGACGTCCCTTTTAGAGACATACGTTTAACTATTTTTGATATCCATTTGGATCATCGGATATGAATATGATATAGTTCTTGAAATGAACTTCTAGATTACTTAGGCGATTTGTGGATTCGGTTAGTGTATGATCGCCGACGAATTTTTAAAGTTAGCATATTATTGAAATTCTTGAAATACTAGTTTGGAATGGCCTACTTTGACGTACGGTAACTTTTGTTACGATTAACCATTTCATGCTCCATTAACGAGTGAAAACTAAGTCATGAGCATTTCGAAATTATTAGAATTCCACGTTGCTTGGGAAAATATAAATGATCCACTTAATAAGGTGAGGGCAATCCTCTCCTAATAAGCCGGTTTTATTAGGTGGAGTTGGCCCAATATTCCTAACATGGTATCAGAGCCTATGTTGTGTGGCTAGATAAATCGAAGTGGTGGAAAATTCTCATGAGATGGTGGAT